CACAGCGCCTGGCTATTTTTTGGCTGCAGCCGTCATTGTTGTTTGGCAGGCTGGGCTGGAATCGAACCTGCCACCTCAGGTGTATGTGGCTGTTGCCTTCGCCACTTGAGCCACAGGCACTGAGCCTGTCATTTCTTTCTTTATGAAAACAGTAGACAGGCTGGGCATAGTAGCTCATGCTATAATTCTAGTACTCTGGGAGTATGAGGCAGGTGGACTGCTTGAGCTCAAAAGTTTGAGACCAGTCTGAGCAAAAGTGAGACCCCCATCTCTAAAAATAGCAGGGCACTGTGGCAGGTGCCTATAGTCCCAGCTATTGGGAGGCTGAGGCAAAAGAATCACTTTGAGTCCAAGGGTTTGAGGTTACCATGACCTGTGACGCCACAGCAGTCTACCCAGGGTAACAAAGTGAGACTCTGTCTCAAAAAAATTAAACATATGTTGTTTTTCTGATAATGTGACTAATGTATATTATTGTAGGAAACAATAATATAAACAATTGTTATAAAAATAGTATGTTAACCCAAAGTTAACTACTATTAAAATTTTGGTATATACTCTTCCAAGCTTTTGGGGCATGGCAAGGGGACATGTATTTAAATATTTCCCCTACAAAATTGGGTTTATGTGGTGATTTAAGTTGGATTTAGCAAACCCCCAGAATAACAGTGGCTTAAACAAAGTAGAAGTTTTTTGCTTTCTCACATAAAGTCTAGAGGTCAGCAGTCCAGGGTGTTCTCCCCGAACTCCTTCCAGCTCCCCACCCTGCCACCCCTACAGCATGGCCCTCACATTCATGGTCTAGAAAGTTGGGTATTTCATAGGCTTAGGAAATACCATGGTGTGTTTGGGAAATAGTGTCACCCAGAGTCTTGGCAAAAAGGTGTCATGGTAGAAAAATCTAGAAAGGTAAATTGCAGCCAGATTGTGAGACCTGAGTGCCACATTAAATAGTTTTAACTCTAAAAGTTTGAGTTAGGTGTTCTTAAACTGAGATAAGAGTATTGAACTTGAGATCGCCATGGAAGTCCTGAGAGTTGTATGTACGTGTGTGAAAGACTCAGCAATTGTCTCAGGATTTCGTAGAAAGGGATAACAGCCACTTCTCTATCCTTTGGGGATTCAACAAAGTTTTTGAGCAGATACAAAGAAATCTGTCTTTTAGCTTGCCTTGATAGCCCCAAATTAAATTTTATTATCCTTATTTTACAAATGAAGAAGCAAAAGTTAAGACCCAGAGAAGTTGAAGACTTAATTCCAACAGTTAGGCTGGGCACCTGTGGCTCAAGTGGCTAACGCACCAGCCACATACATCTGAGCTGGTGGGTTTGAATCCAGCCTGGGCCTGCCAAACAACAATGACGGCTGCAACCAAAAATAGCCAGGCATTGTGGCAGGTGCTTGTAGTCCCAGCTACTTGGGAAGTGAAGGTAAGAGAGTCATTTGAACCCGGAAGTTGGAGGTTGCTGTGAGCTGGGATGCCATAGCAGTTTACCCAGGGCGATAGCTTGAGGCTCTGTCTCAAAAATAAATAAATAAATAATAATAATAAAATAATTCCAATAGTTAATAAGTAGGAGAGCCAGACCTGAAGCTTGGGCTTCTGGTTCC